GGAGTGTAGTGGCCGCTCCCGGCCACCGCAGCCTCGACCTGCTGGGCTCCGGCGATCCGTCTACCTCAGCCTTCCGAGTAGCCGGGATTACAGGCTGAGCCACCGAGCCCAGCTGACTCAGCCTCTTAAAGTGCTGTGATCGGGTGTGTGAGCCACTGTCCCTGGCCAGGGTCTTATAATCAGCAAATTTGTTTATAAATTGTAGCAAATTTGGTGCTGAGCACAGTGGCACGTGCCTGTAGTCCCAGCTATTCAGGAGGCCAAGGTGGGAGGATCACTTGAGCCTAAGAGTTCAAGTCCAGCCAGGGCAACATAGTGAAACCCCATCTTAAAAATAATTAAGAAAATAAAAATTATAGCAGATTGGGTTAGGAGAAGTTATATTAAAGGCCACTTGTGACTGGGCATGGGAGGTGGAGATGAGAGAATTGCCTGAGCCCAGGGGTTCGAGACCAGCCCAGGCAACTTAGCAAGACTGCTTCTCTACGATAAATCAAAAAAATTGCTGGGCATGGCGGTGCATGCCTGTGATTCTAGCTACTTGGAAGGCTGAAGTGGAAGGGTCACCTGAGCCCTGCAGGTCGAGGCTGCAGTAACTGTGAGCGTGGCACTGCACTCCAACCTGGGCAACAGAGATTCCGACTGCAAAAAAAGTCCCCTTGTTTCCCCACTGTGGTTTATTGTTACTCCAGTGTTTGTCCCCCACCCTAGACCTACAGAACGTCAACATCACGCTGCGCATCCTCTTCCGGCCCGTGGCCAGCCAGCTGCCTCGCATCTTCACTAGTATCGGGGAGGACTACGACGAGCGCGTGCTGCCATCCATCACCACGGAGATCCTCAAATCGGTGGTGGTGAGCAAGCTGGGTCCCTGGCAGCAGCAGAGCGGGGCAGTTGGCGGGCTGGGACGAGGCCCTCGGTTTCCTGGCTCTTCTGCTTCCTCATGCACCTCACCTGCTCTTCTGCCCTCCTCTGCACACCAGGCTCGCTTCGACGCTGGGGAGTTGATCACCCAGAGAGAGCTGGTCTCCAGGCAGGTGAGCGACGACCTCACGGAGCGAGCGGCCACCTTTGGGCTCATCCTGGACGACGTGTCCTTGGTAAGACACTTGGGGAGATGGAGGGGGCAGGGGCTGCAGGTCCGTGGGGGTGTCTGGCTCCATTTCTGGGTAGACGCTGTAGGCCCTGCCTTCTGCTTGCCTCAATGTGAGGCTGGAACACCCGGAAGCTCTGATGGTGGGGGGGCAGTCTCCTGGGGTTTGTTTTTGGTGGAGTGTTCTTACCTCCCCCTGCCACACATACTTTTCCTATGACCTCTGGTCATACCCATACGGTCCCTAACCACGAGATGTTTTTGCCTTCTCCAAATGGTGACCGTTCCCCAGAGCTCCCCAGAAAGCACCGTCTTGTTAATAACTGTTCGACACAGGAAGAAACCGCCTGGCAGAGACCAGAGAACAACTCGAGTAGTCTTCCTCCCCAGCACAGACCGCCCAGCCTGCCCCCTGGGAATGGCCTAACACTTGTGTTCTGAAGCTCAGTGGAGTGAGTTCAGGGAACACCCCCCCCATGAAAGGTGATAGGGTGTAAATGGAATGGTTCTACTCTCCAGGACCTGGTATAAGGGGTGAGGAACATCTTGGAGGCGTCAGCTCTCCTCTTGGGACATCACAGTCTCTGTATTTATATGACATTGAATGTCATAACTCAGAAAGTAATACAGGCGGGATAGCATTTCAAGTTGATGAGGGTGAGGGGAAAGAGGTCATGTTTCTAGATTCTCTGGGAAAAATTATTTGGGGTGATTTGCTCGGATGGTGAGGTAAAGTGTTTCCTGTTCAGTTCTCCCGTGCATCGCTAGGGAAAGGCATGGTTTCCCACTCAGCGTCTGTGCAGCTGTTTAAACAGTAACACTCCGGCCAGGCTCAGTGACTCAGCCTGTAATCCCAGCACTTTGGGAGGCCAAGGTGAGAGGATTGCCTGAGCCTGCGGGTTCAAGACCTACCTGGGCAACTTGGCAAGACCTCGTCTCTACAATCAATCAAAAAAATTAGCCGGGCGTGGTAGTGCACACCTGTAGTTCAGCTACTTATAGGGCTGAGGTGCAAGGATCGCTGGAACTCTGCAGGTCGAAGCTGCGGTGGCCGGGAGCGGCCACTGCACTCCAGTCTGGGCAACAGAGTGAGACTCCAACTCAAAAAACAAACAAACAAAAAAAAACCCCCAGCGCTACCCCGAGGGCACGGCACCATTTTGCTCTAGCGGCCAAGTCCAAAGGGCTAAGGGCTCCCTCTGCTGGCAAGATGCCAGGCTGCAGCCTCTGGCTCTACCGCTAGCCCTGCTCCAGGCCCTCGCTGCTTTCTGTTAACCTGAGCTCCTTGGCTGTGAGAAAACACTGGGGAAAAACCTAAGAAAAAACTTGGTATTTTACTAGCCTTGAACCATGTACTCCATTCCAGGGAGACGTGGCTGACCATAGGAAACCGGATCTAAGAGGTCGAGAAGAAATTAGATTTCATGGGGAATTCGCTGCCCTCAGCTGGCCCTTCTAGAAAGAAATTTCATTCCTTAATTAGACATTTCATTTTCCATTTCTCAGGATTAGATTTTCTTGCCCCAACTTTGAACAGGGGTCCAGAAGTGGATCAGGCAGAGAGCAACAGCTGCAGTTTAAGAGTTAGAAGTGTTGACAATTGTGGAAGACACTGGGGCAGGATTTATCTTTGGGGTGGTTGGGGGCTGCTCAGATGTGAAGAAGCAGAGGAGGGAGGAGGGTGTGAGATGAGGCTTTGACGGCCAAACCAGTGCTCTTCTTTCCTTCACCCTTTTTGAACAGAAAGTTGGTCAGTTGCCCCAGGCCCGGTGTGAGGGTCCCTGAGATCTGTTCCCACCGTGTGTGCTATCTTCAGAGCCAGGCATGACAGCCAAGTCTCACTGATGTAATTAGGGACGGTCTGGATGATCTGGCTTGGAAACTCTCCCTCCGACAATGGCTTTACCTGCCTTTCGGTTAAACCCTTTCCCAGGGCCCCCACACGTCGGGAATGCCATGATATGCTTCCACCTCCTCTTCCTCTTCCTGTCCACTGGTGGGGCTGCTCTTGGAAGAAGTGGGCTGCTTAATCCATAAGCAGAGAAAGCAGAGATCGCCGGCTCATCAGTCCTGGGAACCAGCTGCGTCCCCCACTCTCAGGGCCTCATTTTACATCTGGCTTCCCTTGGGCCTTGGACAGGGCATCAAAGACCTTGGAAGAGCACTCATCAGCTGTGGAGGTCCTAGAAGCCACCGTCCTCCTCTGGGGAGGTGGTCAATTGAGCAGAGACCCTCTGGTGCCTGTGGGCCCCCTCGAGAGCCCCAGGTGCCACTGTCTACATGAGGTCGCTGCACGGAGGCAACAGTGACGTTCGGGAGCAGTTAGGGCAGCTGAGGATTCTGGGTGTGAGCTCGGGTTGGATGAGGGTGTGGAGGTAAAGGGTGTCCTGGCCTTGCAGGTGCCTCTAGCTGCTGGAGCCTTGCTGGCCTCTTCCTCCCAGAGGCCGTGGGCCTCCCAGCAGTGCTGTCTAAGTAATCACCCTGCCTCATCCTGTGCTCCCTCTCCCCCTAGACGCATCTGACCTTCGGGAAGGAGTTCACAGAAGCGGTGGAAGCCAAACAGGTGGCGCAGCAGGAAGCGGAGCGGGCCAGATTCGTGGTGGAGAAGGTGAGCGTTAGCCCAGATGGCGGCAGACTTGCTTCCCTTCTCGGGCGCTCGGCTTCCCTGTTCACTGGGTGGCCTGGAAATCCATCTTCTGTCATCTCTTCTTCTGGGATAATGGGAAAGGGATTGAAGGAATTGTACTCCTGCAGTGGGCTCCAGAGTCTTCAGGGGCTAGTCAGGGAGATGTGAAGTTATGTTCCTCATTACAGAAGGGTCATTTTTCTTCCGCATCTCTTAAGATCAAAAGCACTCTCCTACAAATGAAAATGTTTCCCCTGGAATATTTTCAGCTTCACTGAGGAGTCATTTTTAACCACGGTTACATAGTGAAAGCTGACAGCAAAAAGATCAAACATTGTGCCAGATGTGCTATCGTCACCAGGGTTAAATCCATCCAGATGTGTCGGAGTGTGCGGTGGAACGCCATCCATCTGCACAGCAGTCTGGTCTTTCTGTATTTGCAGAGGTGTTTCTTGCTCTCCCCTTCCCATCACCAGCGTTTCTCATTGGTGGGGGTGGGGGACAGTAAGAAATAAAAGAAGAAACCAGGGACAGATGTAATTTTGGAGACTGAAAACTCCATGCAGGCAGGGACTCGTTTTGCTCTGAATCCACTGTCTCCTGAACTTACAACAAACTTAGCACAGTGCCTGGTGATATTAGGTGCACAATAAACAGACACAGAGCCTAGCAGCTTTGAGACTGTGTGAATTTCGAGAGGCTTGACATCACCTTCTCACGCTTCTGAAGGTCCCACGTTGCCAAGCGCTGTCTTCCTCTAGACACGGGTAGGGCAGGCATGGAAGAGTGCTCTGCGGTGCCTGGGTTCCCAGCCCAACCTGGTGCATGGGCAGCTCTAGGGAGAGTGACAGGTGTGTGCGGCTCCTTAGCTAGCCTGGTTTTGATGAAAGTCGTTTGAACTTGGGGCAGGAGGGAAAAATGAGCTGGAGGATTGAGTCCACCTGACTTTTTTCTCCTGTTTCCCTCAGCCTCCGGTCCTCCTGGCTTAGTAAAGTGGCTGAACTAGATTGTCATTAATATTCATAAGGACTTTGAAATAAGGCAGATTTGGACAGCCAGCAGAAATGTCCCCCTCCGGTGCCGTGAGGTGGGCATTAAAGGCGAGGGAGGATGGGGTGGGCCATGTGCCTGCTGACCCCATCAGGAGGCGGTGCTCAGTCCCCCAAGTTCCTTCCAGAGCCCGTGGGTGCGCCTTTCTCTGCAGGTCCTTTCTGGGCTCAGCCTGACATCCAGAGCCCTGACGTTTGATCTTACTCTCTGTCTACTCCCACTCTTTCAGGCTGAGCAACAGAAAAAGGCGGCCATCATCTCTGCCGAGGGTGACTCCAAAGCCGCCGAGCTGATCGCCAACTCGCTGGCCACGGCAGGTGACGGCCTGATCGAGTTGCGAAAACTGGAAGCCGCCGAGGACATTGCATACCAGCTGTCACGCTCTCGGAATATCACCTACCTGCCGGCAGGCCAGTCCGTGCTCCTCCAGCTGCCCCAGTGAGGCCCACCCTGCCCGCACCTCCTCGGGCCACTCACTGGAGCCAGTGCCCCGATGATGCTTAATACAGCCTTCCTTATCCCCACCCCAGAAATCACTGTGAAATTTCATGATTGGCTTAAAGTGAAGGAAATAAAAGTGGAATCATTCAGATCTCTGATTACTCTATCAAGTGAAGCCCTCTCATTCTTCTCATGTCCATCGACTTTTTTATCCACGTCCCAACCAAAAACTGCCAAGTGCCTACGCAGACTGGCTGCAGGTCCCATGCCGGGGCCTATGGACCTCCGGCCTAGGTGCTGGCAGTTGACAGAAGGAAGGCAGAGCAGTGTGTGTGACGGACGGGGAAGCCTGGTTGTCAACCGAGTGCACGTGTGGGCTCCATCCTGTCACTCCTGAAGATTTGAGGATGATGGTGCACATAACCCAACAAGGAGGCAGGCCTCGATTTTTCCAGCGGTTCCAGCACAGATGCAGCTGTGGAGAGGTGCTGGGAGGGTCGGGGAGGAAGCCGCCTGTCTCTTACCATAAGGCTGATTCTCTTGAACTGAGCGGCCAGCGGAAGCAGGTGTGTACAAGCCGGGCACAGATGGAAGAATCTGCCCCCATTGAGGTGGGTGGGCCTGATTTTGCTGCCCCCCAGGGTCCTAGAACTGAGATGGACTTGGATGGTGGGAGAGGAGGCCTGGACTGAGATGTGAGCTCTGTGGAAGACTTCCTCTCTGCCCCCCACCTCAGGCCCTCTCACTCAGTGGAATTACTGCTTGAAGGATTGCATCCTGCCGGACTGGACACACCTGCCAAGGACATATGCGTCCTGCGTTCTGGCTCCCTTGTTCAGAGCCTGCCCTCCTCGAGGGCTCTATGCCTGCGCTTCAAAGAAAACAACCACGGGAAAAAACAAATGTGTGTAAACTACTGTCAATAAATGACACCCAGACCTTCCAGCTCGTTCATGGGTCTTTTTGTTTGTGGGAGCCATGGAATCTGAACAGAGCATTCTAGCAGTGTTTGCGTGCACGTGTTTGCACTGCCAGCTGGGACCGTCTCCAGTAAGGCAGAAAATGCTTTGTTTTCAGAAAACACTTTGTGCTGTGTTTGGATCTGTCTCCCACCTGAAATAAGTTTCCGTGGGACCTGGCGAGGTCGGTCCTGGGCGGGCTGGGATGCGATGGGCTGGGTGGAGGCAAGTTAGCTTTGCTCTGTGTCATGGTACCGCTGCTCCCTGGGAGGTCATACTGTCCCCTTAAGGAGGAAAATGATTGATGACAAATGGGTCCAGTTGCCCTCAGCGTTCCTTGGTTTTTTATACACATTGGATGATTCGGGTGCTCTGCAGTGGGCTGTTCTTCACTGATAGGGATGTTGGAAATGCCTGGGCGCTCAAGGGGGCTGAGCTTGTGCGTTCTGGGTGGTGGGAGGGAGAGCAGACTTCAGGCTGAGAAGCCATGTCAGGCACCCACCTCGAATCCTTTTAGGAACTAGCGAGACTGCAGGCAGTGAGGGCCCAGCACCCCCACCCCACCCCTCTCCGTTTAATCCCTGGACTCGGCACCTGGCCACAGAGAGGGGTCTTTAAGAAGACCCTGCAGGCTGGTCTCTGACCCAGATTGGACATTTCCTCTCCCAGAGTGACAAGCCAGCTGTCAGCTGGGGAAGAGGGGACCGGGTGCTCAGATTTGGAGTGGAGCTGGGGGTTGAATTCTCCCAATCCCTACATCCCGCACCCCTCCCAGAGCCTCCCAGAAGCAATCTAGTCCCATTCCCTTCCCAGTAGCAGACAACAGTGCTTGATTCCAACCCATGGCTGAACCTCAAGCCTCCCTCCCATGAGTTTCCATCCAGCCCACCTCCCCGCCCCGACCCCCAGCATCCTTTATCTCAGGCCTCGGGATATCTGGTCCCAGGGACTTTGCTGGGAGAATGGGGAGGCCTGCGGGGGATGAGGAACCTGGTCTCAAAAGGCATCCAAGACTGGAGCAGCAAGAGCCTGATTCCTAAATGTGTTCCAGACCAGCTTCCACCCCTGCCTTCCTCCTTTCCTGCTGTTGATTGCTGTGAACACCCTTTCGGGGTGGAGGGCCAGGAGTCTCCTCTCCCCAACGCCCTTTTTAAAGGCGCAGTCCAGCCGGGCTCAGGGGCTCAGCCTGTAATTCCGTGCTTTGAGAGGCCGAGGTGAGTGGATTGCCTGAGCCTGCAGGTTCGAGACCCGCCTGGGCAACTCGGCGAGACTTCATCTCTACAATAAATCAAAAAACTAGTGGGCGTGGTAGCACGAACTTGTAGTTCCAGCTACTTGGAAGGCTGAGGCAGAAGGCTCGCCGGAGCCCAGCAGGTCGAGGCTGTGGGCTGTGGTGGCCGGGAGCGGCCACTGCACTCCAGTCTGGGCGACAGAGTGAGACTCCAACTCGGGAAAAAAAGAAAAAATTTAAAAATAGAGGTGCAGTCGTGCTTCCTGCCTTGGAGATTGGGTTTCAGGCTCCAGATGTCTGTAGGGGAGCCCCGGGCCCTGCAGAGCTGCCCTGTGTGGCCTCGGGGTCCCTCCAGCCTTCAACTCAGCTCTTCGGGGCAGGCAGGCCGGGTTTCCTGCTGGCTTTGCCATTAGCCGCCTTGTCGGGGATGGCAGAGGCACCTCCCAGTGGCAGTCTGGGGGCCCCGTTCTGCCTTGACTTCCGCCAAGTAATTCTTTTCACAAATGTTCAAGGGCTTGTAACTGGCTTCTCAGCCCCTGATGGCCTCTGGGTTTCTCCCGAAGCTGCCACAATGGGCCTTTATCAGCTCGGTATCCTCTGGGTCTTGGATCAAAAGCCGTGTCCTGTCCTGGCCAAGGGAAGAGACGCAGGAAGTGTCTTCCTCTTTCCTTTGGTCTGAATAGTTCCCTTGTTCAGGCTCTGGAGGGTCGCTGGCTCAGAAGGCAATGGGCCCCGCATGGGGAGAAGAGGGAAAAGCCCCCGAAGGGCTGCCATTTTCCTGACAGATGCTAGTTTTGCACAACTTCCTCCAGGTGGACTGCTGGGGAGGAAGAGGTGGTGCTCACCCCCAGTACGTTCATTTGAAAGATAGGAAAAGACATCGGAGTGTCAGTCAACTCTTGACTTGGCAGATGCTAGTCTAACAGAACATTCAAGCAATCAGCAAGGGCATGTGCTGCTAGAACTTTCCCTGGAACTTTGCCATCCCCAATAACTGGGGGCAAAGCAGCCCACCCTGGGTGAAAATCACCTGGATGAGGAAGTCGTGGGAGGTTGTCACCTGCTTGCCCACCTCTCTCAGGTCTCCATACATTCTGCACACTGCTCCAAACTTCGTTTTTCTTTTTTTTTTTGAGTTGGAGTCTCACTCTGTCACCCAGACTGGAGTGCAGTGGCCGTTCCCGGTCACCACAGCCTCGACCTGCTGGGCTCCGGCGATCCTTCCGCCTCAGCCTTCCGAGTAGCCGGAATTACAGGCATGCGCTACCATGCCCGGCTGATTTTTTTTATTTATTGTAGAGATGAGGTCTCGCCAAGTTGCCCAGGCGGGTCTCGAACCCCGGGTTCAGGCAATCCACTCACCTCGGCCTCCCAAAGTGCTGGGATTACAGGCTGAGCCACCGAGCCCGACCAAACTTCGTTTTTCTATGGCAGTCTCATCCCCTCTGAACTGAAGACCCTTCCATGGGTATTCCTTGCCAGCTTAATCAAGTACAAATGTCTTGTCCTGGCATTCAAGGCTCTCGGTGGGCTGGCTACCTGTTTCTAACCTGAAAAGATTTTCCTCCTTATCTCACAAACCAACCTACCTAATGATTCTCAGAGGGTGGGGAGTGCTGTTTGGATATGCAAGTGGCAGACAGGTGTGATGGCTCACATCTGTAATCCCAGTGCTTTGGGAAGCTAAGGTAGGAGGATCACTTGAGTTTAGGAGTTCAAGACCAGCCTGGGTAAATTAGTGAGATCCCATTTCTACAGTTATTATTATTATTATTTATTTTTTATTTTTTTGAGTTGGAGTCTCACTCTGTCGCCCAGACTGGACTGCAGTGGCCAGGAGCGGCCACCGCAGCCTCGACCTGCTGGGCTCCGGCGATCCTTCCGCCTCAGCCTTCCGAGTAGCCGGTATTACAGGCATGCGCTACTATGCCCGGCTGATTTTTTTGATTTATTGTAGAGATGAGGTCTCGCCAAGTTTCCCAAGCGGGTCTCGAACCCCAGGCTCAGGCAATTCACTCACCTCAGCCTCCCAAAGTGCTGGGATTACAGGCTGAGCCACCGAGCCCGGCTTATTATTATTTTTAATTAACTGGCTGTAGTGACATACACCTGTAGTCCCAGCCACTTGGGAGGCTTAGGCAGGAGGATTGCTTGATCCCAGGAGTGTGAGGTTGCAGTGGGGTATGATCACGTCACTGCATTCTAGCCTGGATGACAGAACGAGACCCTTTCTAAGAAAAAGAAAGATGGCAGGGCGTGGTAGTGCATGCCTGTCGTTCTCGCTACTTGGAAGGCTGAAGCGGAAGGATCTTCTGAGCCCAGCGGTTGTACACTGAAGTGGTCATGAGCGTGCCACTGCACTCCAGCCTGGGCGATGGAATGAGACTCCAACTCAAAAAAAAAAAAATAAGAAAATGAGAGAGAGGGAGAGAGGGAGAGAGGGAGAGAGGGAGGACAAGAGGGAAAGAAAGAGGAAGGAAGGGTCAGGCTCAGTGGCTCAGCCTGTAATCCCAGCACTTTGGGAGGCCAAAGTGAGTGGATTGCCTGAGCCTGCGGGTTCGAGACCCGCCCAGGCAACTTGGCGAGACCTCATCTCTACAGTAAATCTAAAATTAGCCGGGCGTGGTAGCGCGCGCCTGTAATTCCGGCTACTCGGAAGGCTGAGGAGGAAGGATCGCCAGAGCCCAGTGCATTGAGGCTGTGGTGACCAGGAGCGGCCACTGCACTCCAGTCTGGGTGACGGAGTGAGACTCCGACTCAAAAAAAAAAAAAGAAAGAAAGAGGAAGGAAGGAAGGAAAATGTGAGTGGACTGGGGTGGTGGCTACTCACCTGGGATGAGAGGAAGGAGAGGTGGCAGGGATGTGTAAGGCCCTCCTAGTCAATAACACCCCCATGGAAAACATGTGCAAATGGGGCTCCTGGCTCTTGCCTGCACCCCCCACACTTGCACTGCACCCCCTGACACAGTCACTTCATCCTGGACAGCCCTTTCCCCACCCCACAGGGCTGATGCTTCCATCCCCTCACCTTTGAGTCCCAGCTCCAATTCTTTCTCTCTGCACAACTGTTGCTGACGTTCCCCCCATTCCCTCTTCCTTGATTCTCACGTTCCTGTGAGGCATCTAGCACCCTCTTCATGGGATGGCAGCTGCGTTTGCGTGTGCGTGCATCAGTGTGGGGGGTGAGGGTATTCCTCTCTCCTACTCAGCAATTTTTTTCTTTTCTTTTCTTTTTTTTGGCAAGCTACCTTGTATACTTTTTTTTTTTTTTCTTTGAGGCAAGGTCTCTGTCACCCAGGCTGGAGGGCAGTGGCATGATCATGTCTCACTGCAGCCTCGACCTCCTGGGCTCAGGTGATTCTTCCATCTCAGCCTCCGGAATAGCTGGGACTACAGGTACATGCCACCACACCTGGCTCACTTTTTATTTTTTGCCAAGACGAGGTCTCGTCATGTTGCCCAGGCTGGTGTTGAACTCCTGGGCTCAAGTGACCCTCCTGCCTTGGCCTCCCAAAGCGCCGGGATGATAGGAGCCGGCCACTGCATCCTGCCAGTTCTATCATTACAGAGGGCAAGATTCCCCTTCTTCTTCTTTTCCCTATCCCTCTCCAATTTTTCCCAAGCCAAGCATGCCTCGCTCTTGAGGGAATTACTGAATGTTTGTTAAATGAATGGAAGATGGAGCAGAGCACACAGAACTCAGTTAGATGAGAGCTGGAGGCTGAGGCTCGAGTTCTCCTCCCATGCCATTCA